GGGGGGTGTGCCTATTCAAAGCATGTTGTGTAAAGTGTATTGACAAAGGTAGGCTACTGCGAAAGGAAAAAGAAAGGGGGGAGAGACAGTAGGGTCGAATGATGAAATTGCCCAAAATTCTTCCTTGTTTACCAGATCTGCTGGAATGTTTTAATGTGTAAAGGGGAATTGCTATCAACAGGAAAAAAACCCAAGGATTAGAAATCCTTCCATGTTAGCAGGAATTTGGTACTAAACATCTTCATGTAAACAATTTCTCAAATTATATTATATATCACACATATATAAAATGTAACTTCTTATCAGTGACTCATGTCCCAAGCTCAAATACTACTATTAAGAACAAAGAATAGGAAAGGCAGTGTTAAAGTTTAGAGCATTTAAAATCAACTAGATTTCGATTGGTGACTTTAGTGCACAAAGGATAAGGATGTGCAAGTTTTCTACATGTGGAAAAAAAATGAGTGATGTAAGCTATATATTATTTATGAATATTTCAGTGTATACATACACATATGAAAGTGATAGATATATGAATATAGACATATTACATATATAAGTGTGCATGTGTGCATCTTGCCAGATCCACAGAAGAGAAATTACAAACATGCATAACAACAGTTATATCCTCTCTGATCAGCTTATTTGTGTGAGTAATTACTTAGCTGTAACCATCTCTGTGAAACTTGGTACTAGTTTCATTGTCATACCCATGAAACAACACTGTCTTGCGGGCTTTGGTGCTGGGGGGACCTGAGCACTTATGGGCCTGTCCGGTGTGCAATGACGTTGTTGCCCAGGACAGGTAATACAGGTAACGGGTAACATTGTCTTTCGATGTGAACGACCAATTCATCACATGTGTTATTCTAAAGGAATATGAAAGTCTCTAAACAGATAAATTTACTACCTTTTAATCGAGAGCCAAAAAGTTGATTTGTGTAAAAAGATGAAAACCATGAAATAAGTGATCAGTTTTGTGAGCTTTGTTGCTCTTTGCCTGTATATTGTAATTGCATTGCACAGATGATATATCAGAGGGTAATGTCAAAGTCAAAGTAAAGGACAGGTCACAAAGTCATGGCCAACAAAAGGTTACATTGTCAAAGCTAGCAACACGTTACAAGGTCAAAGCTAACAACAGGTTACAGGTCAAACCAGGGATGTGTCACAAGGTCAAGACCAACAACAGGTTAGTAATAAAGTTGTGCAGCGAGCAGAACTCCCAGAAATGTGGACAGAGCAAACGAAAATTGATTGTATAATCTCAAGTTAAAATTATCTTTACTGGAGTGCTGATCCCTCACTGAAGACAAGGAAATAAGTGTCAAGAGCCAATAACCCACATCTATAAAAAATATTTGAACAAAAAACAAGCTATTCTTTTGTTCTTAAAACAATTATTCAGTATACTTGGCACTATAGAGCAGAACGGATTTGATGACAAGTAAAAACCTGGCATATATAATATATGGAAATGTGACCCATTGGCTTTTGCAATAAATATTCTTGCATGCATTGTTGGGAGCCCTGCTCTGTCAATTAATAGAAAACGAAAAAGTGTTAGAAAAATATTTTTGCCTACCAGCACCCATGTTGAACCTGAAGACAAAGGCACATTGTTGCATTATAAAGCCAGATAGATGTCTAAAAACCAGTGCATAATGGTTTTTATGCTTTCGTAAAGCTAATCAATAAGGCAGTTAGAATACCTGTTCATGCCCGTAGTATACAAGTTAGAGATACATTGTGCTTATTACTGTATCAGTTCATATGCAATGGTGTAATGCAAGTTAACAGCATGCTAGTAACAGATTTAGATCTAAGCCTGAAAAGGTTGGGCATTTACCTCAAGACAATCTCCACTCTGAGGACATATAAGAAAAAATTATCAATAAAATAAGTAATTGAGCAAATTTTGTATGAATCCAGACCCCAAAATACGAAAAGAATGCAGCCATGAAAGGACTAAAATGTAACGCAAAGAGAAAAATAATTGACACATACTAAAAAAATAGCCGAAAAAGGAAAGACCAATCCTGTAATTCCTTCGAAAGACAACACAACAACAAAACTTCATGAACCTGACAAAGGAACATAAAGAAATGATTTGTGCAGTGTGAAAGAGTTAACTTTTATAACATTTTCCAACCTTTCCCATTTGTCCCTCTCTCCTGAAATTTGTAAAAACTAGCAAGTTTCACAGCTTCCAACAGGTGTTCAGCTCGACCATTCAGCATGCAGAGATAAAAAAAGCATAACATGTTCGGTGAAAATCCAGCTGCCCAAGGTGACTTTAAACTACAGTTGTACCTGCTCTAACCGCCACCTGTCCAAGACAATCAGCTGTACAAATGACTACTTTCTACTTTCCCCATTGCGATTTTTTACATTATGATGATACAGTTCAAGATATGCACCTGTCTAAGACAACCACTTTTCTCCTCCCCAATGAATGACCGTCTTGGACAGTTTCGAAAATGTATTTCCAAGGATAAATGCATTACACCAGAAAAAATTCCACTCGTTCTTCACCTTCCTAGTATTAAAAGCAACCTTCTATAGACAGATACAGGAAAATCCTTTCTAAATAAAGCAACAAGAAATTTTTAACGTCAACAGAACTGTTCACAACTCAGGAGCACCTGACAACCTTTCAAAAGCAGAATGCAAGGAACATTTCGGTATCATCTTCTCACTTCCAACTTGAACACAATTCCCCTTCAGCAATGTCTACTCCCTGTGCCATCAACAGGTGATGATTACAGAAGTGACGGTAGGGACCCACCTCCCAAGCTGGTCACAGATGGAAATGAAGTCGAGTTCCACTGCAAGACAACGATCAGCAGAGACCCATTCTTAACGACTCAAGTAATTGTAGTGTTCTACATTTTAGTGTTAGATCCTATCACACACACATAACTCATAGGCTAGGATTTCCAAAATTAAGGTTGTCTTACAGAGCATAAAGAGTAGTGTAATTAAAATATGAAATTACAGGGGAATTTAATAGAAAGTCGAAGCAATATATTGTTCTGACACTATTCTTCAGCTCAATAGCTCTCACATCATGAATATGTGTATGTAAATTTCAAAAGATGCCCGAATGGCAATAAATATATACAGGATCACCAAAAACACATAAAGATGGGGGAAAGTAAATATGAGGTTTTTGCAAAATACTAATAATAGCATGTAAACTTCTTATACAAAAAAAAAGGTGTTATGAAAGTATCTTAAAAAAATACATGCAAGGCCTTTTTTGCCTCCTGACAGGCACTCAAGCAGTATGCATGATACAACTTTGCCTTAGCAGTAGACATAGAGGAAGTACATAGTACATTGAAACCCATGGCCAGTAACACATGACATTAAAACACTAACGTACCACTGACAATTTCATTCTCAGCATTATAATAATAGTAAATAACATTTGTTTAGCTCATATCTCCAGTCAACAGCAAGCTCTAAGTGCTTTACAAACTGTACTATTACCCCAGCAAACCTTTAAAAGCCCATGAACATTCTTGGCTTCCAAGGAAGCATACAGCGCAAGCAGCTGGTTAATCACTCAAACCCTAAAAAACTGACTAGATCTTTTGCCGTCTATAGCCCCGTACCCATTCCCACCTGGGTAAAGTGAGGAAAATTCCTGAAAAGTTCCTTTCCCCACAGACACAACAACGGGCCACTGACAGACTTTGAACCCGTGATCTTTCGGACGCAAGCCCAACAGCCTAACCACTCGATCAGCGACGCCGCACATATAAAAATAGGTCAAGAAACGAACACACAGAAAGGCTTTTTCTTTGTAACTGTCTATCAGAAAACCATATGAAGTTGACACACATCTTCGTAGATGCATGAAGATTTAGACAAGGTCACACTACTGAGAGAATGGCACCGCTTTCAAATCATCTCATCCCTCTAGTATTACCACATTTCGATTGTCTCCCCTGCCGTCTCTGTTGCCCCCAACCTGTCACTTGTGGCTTCTCCAACATCCCCATAGACACCTTCGTCACAAACAGGAACATCACTTTTCTCTCCTTCTTCTGTCAGGACATTCCCATCTTCACCCACAGTAAAACCCATATTGTGTGCCTTTCCCACTTCAACAGAAACCGTATCCTCATTACTGTAATTTTCAAATCGCCCTACATTTTCATCAATCTCGCCCCTGACCACCACTGCATCACAACCTTCATCTTCAGAATCTTTTTTTTCATCTGCCACATCATCAACACCCTTTACAACATCAAGATCATCATCCGGACCAACCACTGCACTCAGATCACCCGTGACCTCCCTTTCGCTAACAAAACTTTCACTTTCCTCTCCGTTTGCCGTTCCATCCGAGTCACAATCCTCATCCTCTATGTCACCTACCAAATGACCCACTCCCCTCTCCTCACCAACATCTTCAACATTACTTTTATCTATGTCAATTCCCTTCCCCTCCTCAGCCATCTCCACATCAGTCCTATCACTTATTCCTCTCTGGAGATCCGCACTACTGCTAGGTGCACTTTTCTTCCCTTCCATCTGTTCCCAGAACTCTATATGTTTACGCACAGATTTGTCAGGACTTGTACCCTCATCAGCATCTTCTTTTATCTCAACGTGGCTATCCACAGCCACTTCTCCGTCAGAAATGTTCTCTCTTATCTCTATGTGGCTATTTCCAGTCAGGTGGTTTTTGGCAGCCATGGGGCTATCCGCAGTATGTTCTGCTATCTCCAATGGACTGCTTATAACTGATTCTCCTATCTGTGCTTGACTATCCAAAGTTGGTATCCTTATTGGTATTTGGCTCTTCACTGCCTGTTCTCTTATCTCTGTCGGACTACACAGAGCTGGCTCTCTAATCTTCACTTCTTGGGTCACGGTTGGTTCTCTCACTTCTTCTCTCACTTCTATTTGGCTATACACAGATGGCTGCTTCACTTCAACCTGGCGATAAACGGTTGGTTCTTTTCTTTCTTCATGGCTATCCACAGCCAGAATTCTTATGGGTATTTGGCTGTTCACTGCCGGTTCCCTTTTCTCTTCTTGGCTACACATGACGGACTCTCTTATCTTTATTTCTGGAGTCAAAATTGGTTCTGCCACTTCTACTTTATTAATCAAAGCCAGTTCTGTAACTTCTATATGGCTATTCACAGGTGATTTTTCAATCTCTATCTGGTATTCCACAGCTGGTTCTCTTATCTCAACCTCCTGGCTCACAATCTGTTCTCCTGTTTCTATCCGGCTGTTTGGCTCTTCAAACTTGACCTCGACTTGACTATCCACAGTCGGCTCTTCTATTTCTACTTGGCTATCCACATCCTGTATCCATATCTTCACACGACTGTTCACAATCTCCGCTCTTTCATCTTTTTGGATATCCACAGCCAATTCTTTTTTTTCCTCTTTGCCCTTTGTATTACCATCTGCTTCCTGTTCAATTGTCTCTTCCTTGCTGTTCGCACCATTGTCCATATCTGTCTCCTTTAAATTCTCTTTGCTGGGTATATTTTTGGGAATGGACTCTTCCCCTCTTGGGAGCTTGGCATTCCCAGACTGTCCCTTTATCCCCCCTTTGCTATTCACAGTCTGTCCCTTTGTCCCCACTTTGCTATTCGCGGTCTGTTCCTTGGCTTCCACTTTACTCTCTCGATACCTGCCCCAGACCTTGGCCTTCCTCTCTGTGGCCTGTCCAATTAGTTTCCCTTTGCTCTGTACAGCTTGCTCCAGTTCCTTCCCCTTGTTAACCATCGCTTGTCCCAGTGTTCTCCCCTTGCTCAGCAAAGTCTGACCCCACGTTCTCCCTTTGCTATCTGTGATTTTCTTATTAAGAGCAGGTTCCACTGTCTTCCCTTTGCTATCCGCAGTTTGTCCCCAGAGCTTCCTTCTGCTATCCACAGCTTGTCCTGATGTTTTCCCTCTGCTATCCACCGTTTGTCCCACTATCTTACCCCTGCTATCCACAGACTGCCCAAACATCTTTCTCTTACTTTCCACAGCTGGCTCCTGTATCTCCTCATTGCAATCCTCACACACTTCCTTGACCCCTTTGCTTCTATCTGCAGACTGCCCCTTTGTCTCTCTTCTTCTATCCACACCCCGTCCCCTTATCCCCACTCCGCTATTCCAAGTCCCCCACATCGACACCTCATCATCACTAACTTCAGAATCCAACGTCTCCACGTAATCCCCTTGCTCCTCCTCATAAAATGAGTCCAAATCTCTCCACGCTGGACGACCGCCTTCCCCATCCACTGGTGAAAGAGATCCCCCATCTAGCGAGGATGAAGAGCCAGGACGGACGGGCAGTCGGGATGACCTCGGGATGCTAGATTTATTCTGCGAGGGAGACGTGCTGATCCCTGTAGATCGCTGGAACGTCATGATACAGTGCAGGTTCCCACCCGGCTTCTTGCTGGTGTTCCGCTGCATGACACCTTTCCATGACTGGCGGATGTTGATGAAGTTTGGGCTCTCACAGTGCAAGTCAGTGGAAATTTCGTCCCAGCTGAGAGGAAGAATGGTAAAACAAATTAGCTATGAGAACTTCGGTAAGGGGGTTAAAACCCCTAATGAAACAAAACAATAAAAGTCTTAGAGTTAGAGAAGACATTTGCAGAGATCTGGATAAAAATGAAAAAGGAAAGACAAAACAATGAAAAAAGAAGATGTAAGAAAGGAAATTAATATTACACAGATGTTAAACATAAGTTGTTTTGTTGCAGCAGATGTGTGCTCAACTTGAAGTGACATGGTGTTGTGTTTACAAATAATTGCGATTGTAAATGCTTTACACCCCTATCCACACATTTAAATCATTTAAAAGGGGGGCCCACAATGACCCTGCCTATCGCGGCCAACTCAGACTCAGATGGATTCAACCACAAGCAGACAGCTGGAAATACTCAATAAAAAACAATCCCAACATAATAGTTGAATTCATGTCTTCTGTGTAGGATGCCAAAGGGCCTGACTGCTACACTACAAACACTGGTTATGATGTTGTGTATATTAGTATTGTGACATAGAAGCTGGTGAAATCAATCCGTCAATTTCTTTCTCTGCAGTATATTCAGAAGTTCCCAGTGGCTACCAAAAAATATCCTGAACTTTTCAGATCCAGGGAAAATGCATGCTTGGGGACTCAAGATTTATGGATCACATTTTCCAATAAAGCTAGTATCAAGACTTTTTACATAAAGTCCCTGACATCAGGCAAAATACAGATGATGTCAGAAATACTGATTTCCTGATTTATCTAGCAAATCAGAACCTCTGAATGAAGTAAAATTTTAGAGACTTACAGTTTACAGTGTATGGCCGGATATTTCCTGCTTGTTTCTCCAATGAGGATCCAGGACTCGATCGCCTCAGGGTTGAGGAAGCCACTGTTCCACAAGTCACAAGAGTGTCGCAAATGTTGAAGAGACATTGAGTGTGAGAGCAATAATGAGTTTCAGCATAATATTTACATTATTTGCTCTCATTGGAAAAATAAAAGACAAAAGAGGCAGAGGTAGACCAAAAATACCTTTGCTAACAGCACACAGCTGCCTGTGAGACAAGAGATGAATCAATGAATGAATGAATGTATGAATAAATGAATGAATGAATGTATGAATGAATGTAAGAATGAATGAATGAATGAAGATTAACTGAGAAAGATCTACAAAGTGCCCACCCTACTCTCTCAAATTTACCTGTATGCGTCCACACAGAAACCACAAAAGAAAAAGGAGAGAAACAGGACAGGACTTAACTCTTTCACTACCGCGAGACGGCTTGCCACTTTCTGCTTCAAATCACCCATACTTTTGTAATAAACGAAACTGAAATACCCTGTGGCCGGGGGGGGGGTTACTACTGGCTGAAGTGTCTTTAGGCCATTCCCAAAGGGGGGACATTAACCATGTTCTTATGCACAGTAGAATTGTAATTGTTAATGGGCTGATTCATCAATGTCATGCTCATAACTGTGCCTGAACTTTAACAGGGAACTGCTGCTTTTTCTTTCCTAATCCTTACTATCGTCATTATTCCTCTACTTCTTTATATATGTTTGTCACACTCTTGTGACCCGCTATTTCCGGGGTGCCTCGATAGTCGAAGCAGACTTTGTGCTGTTGAAGCTAGAGAGGTGAGCAGAGTAAGCCTGATTCCCTGTAAGGGCTTCTCTGTTGACATCCACCCTTTGGTGCTCACATGACCTTATGCAGTTGAGAGCACCGTAAAACCTCTACTAAAAAAAAGAAACTGAAATCTCAGGCTGAAGAATTGTCCTTTTTATTAACATGTTGAGATAGGTCATTATTTCCCTTTTATTTTCATATGTAATACATGAGGCTAAAATTGAAAATTGAACTCAAAATCTTTAATTCGTCCAAGGGTAGGCAGAATCATAAAGCAAGTCACAGACACGGCCCGGTACAGGTGAGAAAAAATCCCTGGTAGTAAAAGAGTTAATAATAACATCCTGCAAGCACCCACGCTACTATCTCAAAATTACCTGTAGGCGTCCACACAGAAAACGGGTGTTTCCTCGTAGCCTATGGGGCAGAAGTAGTGGTTGTGGCAGTGGTAGACGAAGGTTGTGTTGGGGTCCTTCAGGCCCTCCTTCAGCTTCTCCAGTGCCATCTCACTAGTCACTCCGACTGTCTTGTTTCGGCCGCGCGGCTTGAACATGTAGTAACAGCGGCCGGTCACGCCAAAGTGAGAGTTGAGTCGTCGGAACCATCTGAAGCATAGACCATACACAAAAAAATAAAAGTAAGGTATAACAAACCCTCTCTGTAATCGCGCATCATGATGATACAGATTCCCGTGTTTGAATGGGGACTTTGCTTTCACCCACAAAGACAGATCTTTATGTCCTTTCTCTTATTTTACCCTAATTTCCTCTCTCATTTCAGCCGCTTAAAAAAAGCAAAGAAAGCAAATTTGAATGACCAAGGCAAAGAAAAACTGAGGATCAAATTGACCTGAGGCAAAAGATGGAACTCAAGACCAAGATCATTAAAATTTTGTTCATAATCCTACTCAGGCCTTTTGTCTGTACAGAGTGCCAATCTTTTTTGGCAGCACCACAGCTAAAATGGTAGGGGCTGCAGAATCACAAAAACAATTTCCAAGTACAGTTAAAATTGTCTAGAATGACCACCCATCATTGAAGAGAAAAAAGTTTTTCCAAAACAGGTGGGCGTGACTACTTGAACTGTGTCATTATAATATTTGTAAAAAGTAAGGGGGAGGGGGGGGGGAGTAGAAAGTGATCATTTGTACAGGTGATTGTCTTGGACAGTCACTCAATTGTACTAGAACATGACACTTATTTCATCCTGGAAATTTTCTCAGCCTAATTCATCAGAGTTTGTGGTGTAATGGTTAGGCCCTCCATTATCGCACACATAAGACATTTATAAGTACAATTCCCGCAAAGGTAGGCATCTCTTCGAGCATCACCTGTTTCGAGAAACAGCCTGCCTCCTTAATGATCCAAGTAGTGTCAATGTGGGTGCAAAACAATTACCATTATGTAATTAACCGTTACAACCTCAACTGCATGTATTTCCCTTCCGAGTTCTTGTTCCCCAAGGCCCAGTTACACATATTTCGCTCAAAGGGTGCTGGCCAACTCAAACCCAGTTGAGTATTTTTACCATAATTCATCCAATTGTCTCAAAAAATATTCTACATATTATCTTACAAAACTTCAAGCAGAAGCAGTACAAAAATTTGTTTAGCGATTGCAAAAAATTATAGACACAATCTGTATTGGCTGGGCCTGAGGGTTCAAGGAGTTCAGTGTTATCTGGTCCAAAGGGAGGTGAGAGCTAAAAGTAGCCTGGTGCTGTAAGGGTTAATTATAAAGCCCGACTCACCTCATCAGCGTCAAGTTGCCAGTGAAAGGACCAAACTTTATCTCCTCAAATGGAGAGTGAAATCCCAGGATCTTCATGGCCACTTCTTGGGTCAGAGGTTTCAAACTGACAAGAAAAAGGTTAAGACCTTCCTAAGAGTTTTTCATAACTTTCAGTTGAAGTATAAGAATCTACAAAGTGTTATGAAAATAGAACAATAGGCCTGATTTGATTCAACATATTTTTTCCTGAGCTGGATGTAAGTACGTTGCTTCACTTGAACTAAGCAGGATGTCCTGGTTTCCGGTACAAGATCTGTTTAAGAGTAATTAAGGTTTTTCTAGCCATGACTGAAAGTGGAGCTCTGTTACTGAAATATATTATCTGCTTTGTCACACTCCTCATTCTTTCATTAAATGGTTGCCATTCTCTTACTAAAACGGTATTTTAAAAATCTACATTCAAATTTTCATGTGCACGAGGAGAGGAAATTTGGCAAGAGGACAAACGCAGAGTGAAAGAGTAATATGAAACTTATATGAAGGGTCAAGTGAAAAACAGGATAAGTCAATCTTAGAAAAAAAACACACCAAAAAAAACAGGGTACTAACCCTTAACTGTACTTGTAGAATATACCTATGAAATCAATCAAGTAAAAAACCAATTAAGTCATTCACAAACTGTATTTTCATTAAGGCAGATCAAGTTAAGAACAAGCCAAGGCCATTATAAAAAGGCAGAAAATTAGCTCAGTTATGGTAGAATTAATGTGACTTAGCCTGTTTTTGACTGTACCCATTCATATTATTTTAATTACTCAGGAGATTTTCATATAAGCAGTTACCTCCCTTGGCCCATCGTTGAGAAGAGGAAGTTCCAACAGGAGACCACCGAGGAGATGCCGCATGAAGTCTTGTACTGGGGTCGACTCATGCAGTGCCTTATGGAATTGGGACAAACAAAGCTCAAAATGAAAAAAGGGAATGCTGGAGGTGAGGAAGGTATACAGTTAAAAAATGTATACTTGAACTGCTCATTGCTGAGGTCTTGGTGTTCCAGGTTGGTCGACGCGCTCTGCAGCAGTCGTCTTGGTTTGTCGGACTATGGATCATGAGTTCCTGAAATGTCCTGCCAACTATTGTGCCAGAACACGTCTGCTGGGACATTTCAGTGACCCACTTTCAGCACTTTTTAGGGACCCCCCGAGAAAGTGTTGAGTTCCTGCGTGCTGTCGACATCGCTGACCGTTTATGATGCCACAGCGCTGGGAGAGAGAGAGAGATGAACTGCTCATTGTAAAACTCTGAAACACACCACTTTTCAACACGGCTTATGGCAGCATCTTACACTAAGCAGTCAATATATATAGATTTAGCAGAGACCCATAGTTTTTTTTTACCGTAGAGAAGATGCATTAGAAAATATTATTTGGTTTCAATTAAGATAAGTGTGTCAATGCAAAAACAGTGTTTAGTTCAAGGAAAGAACAAGACAGACAGGAAGGAAAAATAGATGGAAAGAAAAGAAGTAGGGTAAACTAGTGGTGCACGTGCAGAGCCCAAAAAGAAAGAGAAAAGGAAAAACAGAAGGAAAGAGAACAAGAGAGTATGACAAACAAATATACAGACAGACAGACAGACAGACAGACAGACAGACAGACAGACAGACAGACAGACAGATTGACAGACAGATAGACAGACAGACAGACAGACACTCACCATCTTCTCAGATCAAGGACCTTACGCAGTGTTGGGTCCCTACACTCCCCAATAGCCTCAATGCTCTCTGACTGGGAGGCTGACAGGACGGTGAATGTCTGAGATGCTTGAACCATCGACAGCTGGGAGGAGGAAGAGGATGGAGAGATGTCTCCTCTTGACTGAACAGATGAGACTTCCTTACCCACTGACTTTGTCCATACCGATGGAATCCCTAAGGTAGAATAAAGGAAAATAATATATATCCAAAACAAAATGAATGAGTTCTTACCCCCTCATTGACACAATTCAGATCATTTAGGAGGCCGGGTTCCGACCTTGCTTGTCAGGGCCAACCCAGGCCGAGAAGTATACAACATCCAAGCAGAAAGACCAAGATTCTCGGAAAAGATTTTCTCTCCACTTGGGAATTGAACTTGGTTGTCCTGTGTGCAACAGCGAAGTGCGTAACATCTTTACTACAGACACAGGTAGAAAAATATTTTAATAATTTTCTTTAAATTTTCATTGCTATGTACCTGAAATCATATCACTCCTATAAATGTCTCATTTACAGTATGAAGTACTAAGAGAAAAGTCAAACGTGCTCCAACAGCAACCTATCCAAGACAATCATCTGAACACGCAACCACAACCCATTTCTGGCCTTGCGTTAATAAAAATATGGTGACACAGTCCAAGACATCCTCCTGTTTACACTTTTCTCCTCACACCCATAACACTGAAGATTCTATCAATATAAACTGGACATAACCCTATGAATATGGTAGAAATAAACTATAGCCCCTCATATTATCTTTGCGCATCATAACAATCAAAGCCTGCAGTTTTCTATTCCTGTAAGACATAGCTGTAGCCCCCCTATGACTGTGGATGTTGCCCACTTTGTCAAGCAGTTCGAATTGTGGAAGGGGGGGGGGGGGGGTCCGAGAGTTTTCCAACTTTACTTCTACGAGGGTGATCATGGCTTTTTTGTATAACTGCTATGAAAGAGTGAGTGTAGGATCTGTGAGCGCCGTGAAGTACCTGAACGCTTTTTGTTCTTCTTGGCCCGGCCGGTGAAGTCTGAAATGTTGACCTCCCAAGCTGCAGTCTCTGGGTCTTTGCTGTCATCCAGGCCGCTGATCTCCGCATCTAGCCCCGCCCCCTGACCAAGACGAGCAGCAGGAGGTGTGGAAGATGTCTTTGGGCTGATGTTTGCCTTCATTTGCAGTTGGCGATTGCCAGGGCTGGGGCTGCGACGACCCCTGTAATTGCTGTCACTCATCTGGGGGAACCAAAGAAAGTTTATGTCACTATAAGTGTTAACCCTTAGAGCACCAAGCTATTTTCAGCTCTCACTTCACTTTGGTCCAGGTAATACTGGGGTCCTTGACTCCTCAGGCCCAGCTAATACTGGCTGTGTCAGCAAACTTTTCACGCCATTAAAAAACCCATTTATTTACTGCTGTTCTATGAGAGTGTAGAAGATTGAATGAAGAATCATTTTAAGAGATGACTGGCTAGTTGTTAAAATATGTGATTGGGTTTGAGGTGGCCGCCACCCTGTGGGGGAAATATATGCTATTGTCAAGAAAAATATACGTGACTGAGGCTGTAAAAGTTAAAAGTAAAGTATACCCTCCTCCACCCAAGGTCTTCAAACATCACAAAAATCAGTTTTCTATTTTCTGTTCCTGTAAGATGTAGCTGAAATTCCATTGTGATCCTTATAGTAACCCCCAGATCTACACACAAGGTCAAACACATTTGAAATGTGCGGCTATTCTTTACTTTTACTCTCCAAGCCTTTGGCCCAACTGTCTGTCAGTGTCAAACAGAAGTAGATCTCCATGATATCTTTATTTTGTGCCATACACAAAAAAACCCAGAGGGAATGCACAGAACAACAGGACCAAATGGTGGCAAAACTTTTTTGTCACTCCGTCTAAGTGCCACAGGGTACAGACATTTGCGTGGGAGGGAGGTGCTTGGACCTGAAAAAAACCTGACATTAGGTCCTGTGGCAGGACCATCCATGCAAATGCCTGTACCCAGCGATACTTGGAAGGAGTGATAAACAATCTTGCAGTTGTTGATGTGTTTGCCTACTGTATGTGGGCTCTCACTGCTTTACAATTTATCATTATCCTCATAGACGCAATAATGTACTGAAAAATACTATGTTTGTGAGAAGCATAAAAAAGAAATTTGATTATCAGAGAAAACATGTAAGGAAGATCCAAAATTTATTGAAAATGGTATCCCAATATTATTTTGTTCCAGGGCTGTGGTTTATATAGGCCTATAATGTAACATTATGGTGTGTTGATTGTCTGTATTATTATAATATTGAATATTATATAAAGTTGATGAATTATTGAAAGTATAAAATCTATATTTATATTTGTTATGCATGCCATTGTAAGATCCCAGCCCAGTTCCAACACCGAGTTTAACCCTATCCATATGCCCTGGGGTCATTTTGTACCCCTGGAGTTGTATTTTTCACATTTTAGAATACTTCTAGTACTAAGATCTTTTTGAAACTTTCAGTATTTCTCAAAAAAATCATTTTGCCAGACTTTTATGCAAAGCGTACAGATCGGATTAACGCGTAAATTTTATCTTTGAAAGTGGTGGCACACAGTTCCCCACATCGTATAGATACAACAGTAAAACACGACGTACGGATAGGGTTAAAAAAAAATGTTTTTTACACCACCTGTACCCAGAGTAGGAAGGATCAAGCACCTAGGCCCCTTGAAAAAGGACAATAAATTCTGGAGGTCTTATGTAGAAGTTTTGTATGGTAAGGTCCCCTTAAGGCGGGGGGGGGGGGGGGGGGGGGGTACCCTGAAAATCCAGATTTGGCTCAAAACTATGGATTTTAAGTTGTAGGCATTTTTAGCTTCTTCAGCCTCTCTTACAACTATTTCATCGCATTAGAACCCCCTATTAAAGCCTTATTTCTTCCTATACCGGGCATGTTTGTCACCATTATTTCTTCATAAAGTCAATCTTTTATTTTTCTTTGTCGCCTGTTTTCTCGAAATGTGGTTTTTCTCTATACTTTTTAAAATAACCACCATTTTTTATCCAATCTTCATGAAATTTTCACAGAAAGAAGAAAAGATGTAATACTAAAAATTTGGGAGATAAATTTTTTATATATAGAATAGTTTTTTGTTGGTGGTGTTTGGAGTGTGGATTTTCACAGATCTTTTTGCAAACATGAATACTACCTCAGGAAAAAATTCCTTAAAAATTATCTAGTACGTTTAGGAAAAATTCATCACACAAATTTGTATATCTATTGTTTGCCCAGATGCAGGCAAATAAACAATTTATTTCTAGGAAAAATAAAAGCGGTATTAATTACTTAAGACATGTCAACAAAATTCAATTTGGCCATCGCATCCAAGGAAACAAATTTTTTTTCTCAAATTTGATTGCGGATTTTAAAACTCCTTATTACGCTTGTTATATGTGTGAAATTTGGTAACAATTTATCAACTAATAAGTGAGGTAGCCTTCAGTTGCTCCCCCCCCCCCCCCCCTTTAATGATTCTAAAATTGAAAAGAGTTGGCCTTTCGGACCACCACTGGGGCAAATTCAAAATTAATTCCTACAATAAACAGGTATGGTGTTTGGGGTAAATGGTGGTGGTAGTGGGGAGGAGGTTGTGTGGGCCACAGAGAATGAAAAGTGAGGCTTACTGCATTATTTAGTCCTGACTTGGTCTGACTGGAGTTCCCATCTGCTTCTGCCAGCTTGGGAACCATCCGAGCCAGTGGTCGACTACCACCAAATCTGGGGATCCCAGAGGTTTGCCCTACGGATGTACAAACAGACTATTTGTGTCACAACATGGTAGAAACAGGCACTTATCAATTTCTGGGCATATGGAGTTACTGGTTTTACTTAATGCTTGTTCATTTGTTTTGCTTTTGATGAAAAAAAAAAACAACCCATCTACCATAAATAAAAGTTGAGAGAATTATTTGCGATTGAAGGAGGTGAGGGTTGCCTGATGTCAGAGGTTAAACTAGTGAGAAAATGGCCGCCAAAATTTGGTGACTTCCAAAGCTTCAGTGTCTTTAAACACTGCAAGTCATATTTTTTGTGCCTTTGATTACCGTTTTTCAGAAAAATCCAAACAAATGTGTTTTTAAATGGATATGAAAGGTGTTGAACCAAGAAAAAAAATTGTTTAAATTGTCCAACAAGAAGAAAAAGGGGCGGTTTCTTCAATTTCATTATTTTGATGAACATCTGATTTCACCACCATGTTACACATTTGGTAAGTGCATGTAAATGAACAAAAATAAAATATCTCTCCTCACATGGCAAAAGAACCCCCATCTTTTGCAAGCAAGGCAACATGCCTAACTATTACAACACAGACCCATGTTTCCGTACTGGGAGCAAATAAAAAAAAGATCACATATGTTACAAGACCCGAGTTTAGTCTGTTTCAGGTTATAGCACTTTCTATCCTTGTGGATGCCTGTACCCAATGGCACTTTAAAATGAATCATACAAAATCTTGTAAGGTGTCTTTCCCAAAGGCACATTGATAAATTCAATGTTTACATTTTACACCCCCACCGACACCATTCAGATCATTTAGGGGGCAGGCTGCTTTAACCCTACCTGTTAGGGTTAACCCGGGCTGAGTGGAAAACAATATCCTAGCATTTCGACTGTGAGATACTCAATAAAGTAACTTTGTGTGAGATACTCAAAAAAGTGACTTCTAAACACCAGAACTGACCTCAAGTCTTTGACAGTGAAAAACAATGGCCTCACCATTAAAACACAAGAGCCTATACTGACACAATAACAGAACTGGAGCAGCCAGGAATAAAACACACAACTGTCAGACTACCAGTTGTACAGCCTACCCAGGTGATCAATAACACCACCACTGAGAAAGATATTCAAGGGTTACCATGAGCAAAATGACCTGCATCTGCAGTGCAGCTGTTAAGACTCTTTGCTGTGGCACACAAAAGAAAAAAGTCTGAAACCTGTGTGGAGCATTTTTAAAAAATCATGCATCTCCTTCTGGCTGCTGTTATGCTGTATTCTACTCAACTCTGATTGGTCTTGATAGGCAGGGTGGAAGCAGCGAACCTCCTAAATGACCTAAATTGTTCTAAGGGGGGGCTTTAAAGCCACTTTCAATGAATATTATAATTTCACAACATAGAGAAAAGTGAAAGTATGCAAACCTGCACAACCTCCTTAATGATCTAAACTGTGCTCATGGTTGAAAGCCACTTACAATGACATATTATAATTTCATAACATAGGGAAAAGTGGAAGTATGCAAACCTGCATTGCCAGGTGAGGGGCTGCGTCGATGGTTTCTCATCCCACTTCTCCTGTCTGTCATTCCAGAGTCGGAATCCTCGCTGCAGGAGCTGGAGGAGCGCACGAGACGAGGGATGCCACTCCCGCTGCTGGACCGACGTCGCGGGGCTGGGGGTGCCGTCGCCGTGGGAGACGTGGGAAGTCCTTGTGAGACCTGAACCTCCATCTCCTCAAATGCGTTGAGCTCATCATCCAGCTGTGCCAGAGCTTGCCGCTGCTCCTCGATGCTGGGCCCATCACTCGCCCCTAGATCCCTGTTCATTGTTTCGTCGGTGGTTAAAAGTGGCTGACTCTCCTCCCCATTGCCGTTATCCATGTTGTGATTTCGCTCTTGTGCGAGCAACCGTTTTGGGGAGGAAATTTTGGCTGCAGGCAGCAAAGGACTTAACTCTTCCTCTGATAGAATATAGATAAGTAAGTGTTGGTTCAGTCTCTTTGAGGTTGGTGGTGGGGGAAATTTTGGTACTCCATCAAACATGCATACACGCTCACAAAACACATTCAAGTGCATAGATGCATAATAAGCTGTAGACTTATTCAAAAGTAACCACTGCAAAAAAACAAGTATTTTTAAGATGTATGGTCAGGGTCTTTACCTAGCGAACGAAAGACAAAAGATTGACTCTAACAAGAAAATATATTTTATTCAGTATCTTCATGTATCTGTGAGGAAGTGCAAGCACATCCCTGAATGGTCCTTTCAGGTTCAAAGGATGAAGCAATAATAGTAATAAAATAATAATAATAATAATAATAATAATAATAATAATAATAATAATAATAATAATAACAATAATAACAATCATAATATTTTCTGAAATAAAAAAATTTATATAAAAATTTAATAATAAATATAACAATACATGACATTAATAAATTTATATAGCGCTTAACCCTAATTAAAGAACACAGGCTCTGAGTATTTTACAATTACAATGGCAATACATAAACAGCACCATTTTCCTAACTAAAAATCTAGATGTATCCCTTTAATCACAGAAAACACACAGAAAGACTCACCAATCTGCCCTCGAGAAACTCCCCCTCCTCCTCCCCCTCCACACTCCTTCAAGTTCCGGGCAGCTCTCTGAGCACCCTCATAGTCGTTCTTGTCCAGATAGGACAGGAGAAGTTCCACCTCACTCACCAGACTGGACACAACGCGGCTATCTACAGAAACCTGCCGAGACGGGGGCTCATCTTTTTTCGATTTCCCATCTTTGCTTTTATCGCTGTCGTCATCACTCTCGCCCGACTGGTTTGCTGCTGGGCAGGTTGAGAAAAGTAGGTGAGGGGAAAGGGGGGGGATGATTTTAGAAGAAACCTCACTTAGAAAGCAGAAACTTGACGAGTCAAACTGATAATAGTGGCCAATAGGAAATATTTTACGTATAATAATAGAGAATAGATAGCATTCGTATAGTGCAAATTCCTGCTCAACAGCAAGCTGTAAGCGCTTTTCAATCTATACTATTAACCCAGTAGACCTGATTGCATTAATTCTGAAACAGTTTCAACTTCCAGGGAAGCATACAGTGCAAGCTGCCATATGGGTGCTAAAACACCAACATATTGACAATATCTTCTCTTTCTATAGCCGGGTACCCATTCTCACCTGGATGAAGTGAGGAAAGGAAAATTTGCGTAAAGAGCCTTTCCCAAGGACACAACGTCGGGCAGGAGGCTTGAAACCCTGAACCTGCAAACTCATGATTACGAGTTCTGTAGCCTTACCGCTAGGCCACCGCCGCCGCTATCATATGCCGATGTATCCATCAACCCAGTGGGCTTCTACGATCCTGTCTCAGTTAGGCGCTTCACTATCACACACAGGGGACCAGAGTTCCATTCCCAAATGGGGACAAAATTTTCATTGAGTATCTTGGTCTTTCTGAAGGGACGTATCACCCTAAGCCCAGGTTGGCCCGGACAACCACAGTCAGAAGCCAATAAAAAATTATCTAAATTGTGCTGATGAAGGTGTAAAATCACCTACATCATTACAATCCTGTCTGTCAGAGGGCTAAAAAAGGTTGAGTGGGATTATGGATCTTCTACCAAAAGAAATACAGAAACAGTCGAAATTGTCAAAGACAGCTGTACATTGTTGAGGAGAAAAGTTGGTGTCTTCAATCAGTGGACGTCTTGGACAGGTCATTACAGACACAGAGAGAGAGGGAAAGAGAGAGAGATTTTAAAGATTTAGTAAGAGTTTTATGGCACTTGCAATACAATAAGGTCATATAAGTGCCAAAGATTAGAGGTGTTACAAGAGAGTAACAAACACAAAAAAGAAGGAGGGAAAATAAAGACGATAGTTGTTTGATAGGAAAGAAGAAGCTAGCCACACCAGAGCACCCGCTAACCACCCAGAGAGAGAGAGAGAGAGAGAGAGATAGAGAGAAAGAAAGAGGACAAAGGCAACAAAAAATTTTCAGAGAGAGAGAGAGAGATACAGAGATAGGGAGAGACAGAAAGATACACATATAGAAAAAAATGAAAAAGAGAAAGACAGAGAGAGAGAGAGAGAGAGAGAGAGAGAGAGAGAGAGAGAGAGAGAGAGAGAGAGAGAGAGAGAGAGAGAGCCACTAAGAGAAAAAGAGGGAAAAACAGACAATTAGATAAGCACGAAGAGGCATAAAGCACACCCTGAACTAACCAGAGGTTCGCCTTGATGACCACTCCGGAGCACTGAGCCAGTCGTCATCCGAGTCGGAGTCTTCAGACAGGTACTCATCCACAATGTATGGCTTGGTGGTCTGGGTGGAGTTTATTTTCAGTTAGAGAGTTGTATGGCACTTGCGACACAAATAGGTCATATAAAAGTCGAAGGTAACAGGTGTTACTAGACAATAACATGCAAAGAAAAAAAAAGGAAGAAGAGATAATGACCGATAGATATTTGATAGTAAACTAGGTGCAAACCTCACTAGAGTGTCAGACAACCACACATTGGTGGGGGTGGCGGGGGGTGTAGAGAGGGATGGGGGGTTGAGGGGAGTGAGAGAGGACAGTACCTTTTGTGAATATTATACGTCACCAGTCCAGACAAATTTGAATTATTTCAAAGGCAGGCTACTCCTGCCCTGGCTGTCAGGGCAAATCCCTGGCTGAGAGAGATATAATGTACAAAGCCCTGCTAGCAGACAAAACAAAGACACTCGATTAAAAAAAACAAGCATATCCTCACTCTGGAATCAAAGTCATGTCTTCTGAGTGCAATGGCATAGAACATAACCATTTTACCAGACGCCACAGATGGTGGGTTGGGATTTCAGTAAGGATGAAGTGGGGG